CTTTTCCACTAATTATATTCCAAAATTTGCGACAAATGTCATTTTGGCCTTTCTTTGGTTAGAAATCAAAAGTTGATTGTTTTATAAGCTAAACATTAGGTTTTCTCTATGGATACAACTGATTACCGCAAGCTGTTGCTATAGGATATTCTATTAATTTTAAATGCGTTTTTCTACGACTAGCAGACGACTAGCCTAGAAAATGCAGTTTGACACACGGAAAACTCGATCTGAAATTGGCGTTTTGCAAACTGTTGTGTGCCAATTTTAACATTTTTAACTTCCAATGTTTAGCTGAAACGCCAAACGCAACGCAGCACGTCAGAAAAGTGTCATCATTACATCGCAAATTATTTCACAAAACTGGCAAAAACTGAGTGAGTCTGGAAAATAAAAGGGCTTTAGGCTCCCGTTTGCTCCTTTTATTTTCCATCTTTGTTTTCGTTTCTTCATCAATTTTTTTTCCCCATCTACTGGGTTGCACACGGTGCCTCGTTGCATCGTTTGCTTCCTGGTTTTTTGTGTTTTGGGATCGGTTTCTTCGCTTCCTGATTCCTTACCGTACTGATGAAGCCTGAAGGCAGTTACATCAGTGTGCACTAGTGTAGGTGTGGTTGTGTGGTTGTGTGAGTGTGTGAGTGTGCGTGTCAGCACTGGTGTACACTGGTGTATACGGTTACGAGTTGTTGAGGGCTGAGCCGTTTAATCTTTTTTCTTCTTTTTTATACATTTTCCTCACTATTTCTTTCTTTTTCATGTTGTTCTTTTTAGAACCTCTTTTAGTGCGAAGCGGTACAAGATAGCTTAATAGCCGTAATAAACTGATCGCAACTTTATTAGAATATTTTGAACGGGAAAGCGGTAGTAATGGTCCTTTATGTCCTTTAAGTGCTGTTAAGCAGGTGGGTTTTTGTAAATAATAATTGTTTATATATTTATAATTACTTTATTTTTTCTTCCTAAAATATTTTGATTAAAATAAAATATATACAAGTGAACAACGCTGATGTGCCGCTTAAGCTTAATCACGTGACTAAAAGTTTATCTATTATGAACTGTACTTAACCGCGTTATGGCCATAATCCTGGCCATTTAAATTCAATATAATCCCTCTCTTCTTGAGTGTTATGAGCCGAGGCTGTAATTGAGCGGGCTCTCGTGACAAGACGAAACAATCGAACCATTTACGGAATTTCTAATTAATAATAATTAGATATTATTGTGCCTACGTAGGCACGTATATTAGCGACGATGGCTGGCGGCAGTCCTGAATTATGCACCGTCGCGCGCGCCATTGTATTATGTGTACGTTGTAACTGTAATTGCACGTTATTGTTTGTTTGGATCTTCGATGACAAAACATAATTTATACATGTATAGATAATATGTTTAAAAGATAGACTAATGATATATTTTGACTTATTTTGAACCAACATATATACGAGTAAAATGTAAATAAGCCCGTTGTTAATTTTATTTAGTTTGATTTTATCAGTTAATTGAGTTTACCATTTAGTTTTGTGTTATACGGGACTATAAAAAATTATTGAAATAGTTGGCAAAGATGAGGAGGGGAGAAGTTAATCACCGCGATTTTCAATAATTTTTATTTTTTTTGAATACACCATAGAACTGAAGGATGATTGCAAAATTAAATTAGGCGCGATTTCAAGGATTTTACACCCTACTAAGGGCGCAAAAGGCATTAAAGCATTAAATACAGGTTTCTAATTTATATATGAAGATGACATGATGACACTCTATGTTGACTACCGGCTATGGTCTTGTTTTGGTTTAGTTGACAAAATGTTGGTGATCCGTCAAGTTATTTTTAAATCGTTTTTTAAATAATTATTAATTCAGATATTCCTGATTTGTCGGAAATTTCAGTGATTTGTAGTTTGTGTTTTTATTAGATTATGCATTTTGATATTTACAGTCGGTCATCATTTTCGTGTTAGATACTAAACTTTTTTATTAAAGACATTTTGACATTTTGGAAATAACAAATTTATGAACCAAATAAAAAAATAGTTTGATCATAAATAAGTACGTACTATAGTTGTTAATACACTAATATAATCTTTTAAGTAAGAGTTAATTAGTAGTCTATAATATTTTTACTATGTGCTCTATTGTTGGTGTTTAAAATGTATGTATTCATAATTTTATTTTTGTTTTGACTATGTTATACTTCTAATAATTTAATAAAACATAAAATGTGGTAAAAAAGTCTATATATAATATTTTATATTTTATAAGGAATAATTTTGTGCTTGAATAACGTTACCGTTTTAGTTAGCGTTAATAAGTAACGGAACGCCAAAATTATGTTATGCCCATAATTCCCAGAATATTAAATTGCAACTTTGCAGTATAAGTCAAATTTCTTCGGAGCGGAACTCTATCTGATCGATGTAGGTTTCCCATTTTTCCCTTCAGCTTCAAAGCAGGTGTTTTAGTCAGTGTAATTTGTTGGAATTTTCTTGTTTTACCCGTTTGTTGGGGATAATCACTGACTAGAACTATAAGGGATACTTTTGCTGTTTGAGTTGCACCTTACCTTTTAAAAGTATCTCTGAGCCGTTTTATACGGGATTTTAATCTGCTCGTGGCTGGTAAGTTTTTTTTGATCGCCATTTTGTCTAGTGTGATTTGTACTATTCAAATTATTTCTTAACAGGGAAAGCCTTTTGATTTATTTTTTTGTCATCGTCGATTTTCTTGGGAAGAGGAACTTAAAACCACCACCTGTTCCAGTAATTTCTGCTTTCTGAATCCAGCAATTTGAACATCCATCTATTAGAAAAAAAAACTAAATTTTTTTGTGAAGCCCAGCAAGGTAACTTTTTATGATATTTTCTATATTTCTACAGTTGAAACGTGTTTTGATTATTTAATTAATTATAGCTGTCTTTCTTTTGTTTCAATCTATCCCTTCCAGGTAACTTTCTTTTTATTTCGTAAACCTAATACCGCTCTTGGTTTTAGGGCTTTTTACACCAGGATTTTTTAAGACCAGGATTTTTTAAGACCAGGATTTTTTTAAGACCAGGATTGTTCCCACCAGACCTTTAAGACCAGGATTTTTCCACCAGGATTTTTCTGGCTTGCTTTTTCTGGCAGACTTTTTGCAGTACGTCTCTCTGGAAGTGATTTCCCTCTACAGCACTCAGCTTGGCAAATACGTCGCTGGATCAGATCGGAAGCAGAGACAAGTAAACGTTACTGAAAATTTTATCTTCCCCTATTTGTTTTTTCCTTTTCTTACTTACCTTTTCTTTATCTTATATTGATTCAAGGTTCAAGAGTTCAAGGTACATACGGTTCGGTTTTCAATTTTTAATTAAATTTAGTATATATAAAGTCATCAAATTTGGTTCATTTTTTTTATTTAATATCATTATACAATACTCTATTAATTTATCTTAGTGTTTTATTCATCCCTTAATTTTGATCTTTCTAATATTTTTTTTATAACAAGTCTTGTTAGATTCCAAGAATATCTTGGGGGTTTTCTGGCTTATCCTGTGCAAAGCCAGTGGCGCTTAAAACCCACCCCATCTCTTCGGCAGAGCTAGGGCTTATTTGCACGCACACTCCACAGTTTAATAAGACCTTGTTTTTTTTTATTTATTTTTTTTCGGTTCTCTATAAATTTTTAATTTCATAATTTTTCTCGTCAATTTAATAATTTTAAAATTTAACAATTTAACATTTTTTTTAAACCAATTTCCTGCAAAGGAAACGCGTGGCAGGGCGACGCATCACCTGCATCAATGGAAGTTATGTTTCGCCGCTGTTATGTTTCCATTTTCCATTCTTCGTGCAAAGTTCTCCAAATCATGCAGCCTATACGTTCCATTGCAGAAAACTTTTTTCATATTTTGACACAATGCAATTGTTTTCTTTCGAAAAATTTGTATCTTCCTCTAGAAATTTTTCCAAGCTACATCGTGACATTTCGTCGAATATTTATCCGCGTCATCGCTTATTCCCCAATTGAAAAATCAGCCTCGTCTGCTTTCTGCTGGAAGGAAAAGGTAAACGCCCGCCCGCTGTTGGCGCAAATTGCGACAAATAACAAAAGGAATCATAAATAAAACAGCGTCGTCGTGTGCGTCGACGATTTGTGTATATTATGTAAACAGAAAACGGAACGCTTCCGACGCCATTCTTTTGTGTCGCAGTTTTTCGCATTTTTATTTTCTTTTTCCTCCTCCTGCTTTTTGTGCGAGTGTGAGTGGAGAGGAGATTCCTTATGCATCCGCACTTGAACTAAAAGAGAAAAACAGGGAAAAAGAAGTATTCTCTTCTTAGCTTTTTATTTCGCAATATTATTCATCGATAAAATTGAAATTTTTCACGCTTTCACAAGTTTCGTATCGTCGCGGAAATTTGGATTTAAAGTAGCTGTTTACGGCTGCTTTAAATTTTATTAGATTTTCTTGCTTCTATCGATTTTCATCTCTTTTATAGACGTATGAAATATTTGGAGCATTTATTTGTCTTTGAAATAAGATATCTTAAATAAAGTCTACACCTATTTGGGCGGGTTCCAAAAGACTAGAATGTAGAATGTTTAGGAGGGGGGTTAATCACCGCGACCTTACAGATCTATTTTGTGTTCTTCTTCATTGAATTATAACGAGTTATAACTCATCATACAGTCTCAGGGCTTTGACAACAGCCAGTATCTGAGACGGCTGTATTGGCTGATATTCCATAATCACCAGTGGCGCAACTGTACACTAGAGATGAGGAAAACTGCGATTATCCAATCGCAAATGAAACTGCGATTGCCATTTTTAAATCGCTACGGCTCACAGAGGAGTATTTGCTGGATCTACCTGGCCAAAATTATTTATCACTGAAAATCGTTTCAAAATACTATATTTTGGTTGAATCTACGTATATTAAAAAAAATGTGTGATATTATTACTTTACAGAATATAATTTTGGTAGGTACTAAGATAAATGCATAAATAATTTTACTAGGACTATCTATCAGACAATCGAAGTTCTTCAGTCTTGCGTCTTTTAGTTCGTCCGCTAGCCTCTTCAAATAACTTTTTCGGTCGTCCTGGATTTGTCTGTACCTTTGGCAGCTCAAACACTCCCTTTAGCCATGTCTGATTATTTTTCCCGAGTAAGTCTGGTCGTTGTTTTGCTGCAATCCAGTGACGCTTTATTTCGGACTTCACATATGAAAATTTATGCTTTATTTCCTTAATTTGTTCGTCGCTATAAGGCTCCAATGTTGCAAAATGATTTTCGACAAATTCTAACTTCTCGTTAATATCGAGGCGATTTTGTGCACTCATCAAGTCAAATATTTCTCTACGAGTCATTGCCCTAATGCCAGATGGTCCTAAAATAAAGGAAAATACAAAATTACTAATAACTCGAATGTCACAGACCATAAAAAGTATCAGCAGATCAGCGGGAGATTATTATTTTTTTTTACATTTCGCGAAACAGTAAGCTTTAAATATTTAATTAATCAATAGGTGGAGCATAGTGGACCTTGAATATATGATTTTTAGGAAGGGAATACTGTTCATTTATCATCTCTACAAAAATCATTACCGGGACGAACCCTGAAGTACAACAAAACACTTTCAGTTATAATATTTTTTCATAACACAGACAAAAGTACAGGATTTTTTAATGTAAAGGAATAAACGCATAAGAAACCGATAATAAACAAAAACTCTAATATGGAAATAAAGGTAAAATTACCTGCCATTTCAGAATCCATGAGATTTTAGTCCTGAGAATATACCAAAAATATACAAAACTTCTAAAAGTCACGTTTTTCACACAGAAAACAGTACGAAACAATTACGGCTGTTTAACGTCCGAAAACCGATTGATGCATTCGATTTTTTGGTGGAGTGAGGCACCATAAACACTGGGTTCGGAGCGGGGGGTCTCTCTGGCATTGCTTGAGAACCGTCTCTTTTTATCTACGCGTGATTTTCGGAAATCACTTTTGGCCAGCTAGATCTAAAAAATACACCTTTGTGCGACTGTAATTTAAATATTATACTAAGGATATACTCGTAATTGTCTGCGTATGTACCTATAGCTTAACAGTTATACAAGTTAATGAAAATCAGTTGTTTAGTTTTTAAGTTTGAAATTAAATAGTGGTGCCAAATTATTCGTAAAAAAATTTTTTTCTAAATATACTAATGAGCCACCTGCTTTCCATCTGAAACCACTGAGATATGATTAAACATACGATTTGGGCATCTTTTATTCGGTCAGGACAACGCACGAAAAACAATAGACTTTTTTCCAAGGATCCTTGATTAAAAAAAATACTGATAATAATAAAATGAAATTTAAAAAACGTTTTTTTTTTTAAGTAAATGTCAAAAGTTGATATGTTATGATATGCCATTCTATTCAGAGTGTCATTTTCTATCCGAGGGTGCCATTTAAAAACCAAAAATTGTAGCCATTTCCAGTAAAACATGAAGTGACCGAAACGATTTGAATACGTCAATAAATCCTAATTTATGTCATATGCTAACATATCAAATCTCGTTTTTTATCAGAAAAAAATAAAAAAGTTAAAGGGGCGAACCACTCTTGAGAATTACCCGGTATATTATTCATCTTGGCCTTTGAAAATAATACCTTCTCTATAAATAAATGAAATCAGAGAAAAATTCAATCAATCGCAGTTTACTATACTATAAAATGTAAAATGCTTCAATAGACCACAAAATTACATTCGCAACATAATCGTAACTCTTAAGAATTCATACTCGAAGATAGAAGATTATCACGGTTTTAGTTTACAAAATCACAATCGCAGCAAAATCGCAAATCGCAGCAAAATTGCAACTCGCAACAAAATCGCAACTATAGTCATATTGGTTGCTTAAATTTAAACTCGCAAATAGAAGTGGACGTCGACTCCATCAAACACCTCTACACCAAAAGGCCAATCGTAAATCGAAGCAAAATCGCAACTCGCAACAAAATTGCCACTTGCAACTATAGTAATATTGGTTGCTTAAATTGAAACTCGCAAATAGAAGTGGACGTCGACTTCATCAAACACCTTTACACCAAAAGGCCAATCGCAAATCGCAGCAAAATCGCAAGTATAGTAATTAGTAATATTGGTTGCCTAAATTAAAACTCACAAATAGAAGAAATCGCAGTCGCAGTTTACTATGAGAGCCAATCGCAGGTTGCGGTTGCGACTTTGAAATCGCTGCGATTGAATCGCAGTTTGCGATTTGTTGCTCATCTCTACTATACACTGACTTTTAGGGGGATTCAAGTCTTTTGGGGGGTGGGGGGGTCTCAGAAAAGAGAATATTGATTTGAGGTTAAAATTAAAACCCATAAAACGACCCGCACCAATCTTTATGGGAGGTTGTTTTGATGTGGGTTGTGGGGGCTAATCACCACCCCTCGCGCCACTGATAATCACAGAAATGAATTCTTCTTGAAAAAAAAACGCTAGTTTACAACCAACTGAGATTAACTCTGTCTTGCATTATTTATATTGTTACTAACACAGACTCGTGACAAAGATAGGGAGTCCCATCTTATCTTTTATCTGTGGCGTGCATAAAGAAAAAGAGTCTCTCCTTGGTAGAAGCAAGAAATAAAGAACTAGATACACAAAAGAACTCCCCGCTGCTATAGCGGACTGCATCTGTTTACATAATATATACAAATCGTCGCACCAAGGGAAAAATCTTTTATTTACGATTTCTTTTGTTGCTTATTTTAATTTTTGCTAAACGAAACTCTTAAAGACTTTTTCAAATCTATTTTTCAAGCCCCGTTTACACATAACATCTTACCTGTCCATCTACTGTTGACTGGTACGTCAGAAAAAAATAATTAAGAATTTATAAACTAGATTAATAAAAGTAAATTTAAAATATTCCCAAGTGATTAACATGCAATCAGCTTCAGATACCATATACAATTTATCAAACTGATGTTTATTTGCCTCTATAGACACGACAAAACTATTGAACCATCTGTGGAATTCCTAATTAACTGTAATTAGAAATTATTGTATCTACCTACGTATATCAACAATCGGCTTTAGGCAGTGCATTATGTAGCATCTCGATTGAATTATATACAGTCTAAAATAGCGATGTAGGATATAATAAAATCGATATAAAGTATTAGAGTTTCCGGAACCGGAGCTGTTTTTCGGAACCGGGAATTTCGGTACCGCGTCTCTTACAACCAGGATTTCCCGTTTTTCTTCGGTACTTTCGGTGCTGACTAATTTTTGTTCAATGGTGGTGCAGTTCATCAATCAGAAAGCAAGGGATATTTTAACATTGAAAATGTTTCTGTTATCCTATATAAGGGAGCCCAAATCGAATTAAAATGCTACATTTGCCACTCCATGACGTCATATATACAAGGGTATAGGAAACTCGGCGCAGCGGCGGCAGTCGGCCAGCGCGCGCAAAAACCATTACATCGCTAATTGTTATTGATTATATTTTATTAGTTAATAAAAAATAAGTAGGGGGTTTGCTTTTATACATTGTCAAGACATAAGCGAAACTTTTAAATGTTTCTTTTTTCATTTTAGGCCTTCGTTTTCGTTAAATGAAGTTATATTAAAAAAATCTATTTTTTAAAAGCCAAATTTCCGCATGATTGAAATGATTATTCTTGTTTAATAAGTATATTTGTATAAAAATAAATAAAAAAAAATGTTTTTGTAAATAATTATGAAAAAATTAACTCCTACGAAGACTTTATTGTGTACTGGAATAAAAAATAAGTTATTTGTTTTCTCTATACGGTTGGTATTAATATATGCGATTTTTGATGATAGTGCACTTTTACCCGGTCTAATTTTGTACTAATTTCGGAATAAGGATCCCCATATCATGTACTATGATGTACTGTACTTCCATCCCTGATAAATTCAGCTTGTGACACGGAAGTGAGAGGTAACGTCAAAATAAACTTTAATCTACCTACATAATAGGTAGGATGTAGGTATTCTAGGTAATTCTACCTAGACAGTAAGTGAACTAGCTGACAGTAGCTGACAGTAGTAAATTAATTTGTTATCCGAAAAGTAGTTGTCATTATATAAGTTTAATCATCTTATTACCTCCTGTAACGGTAAGGATTTTTGATATTTTCCTAATTGGTTTGTTAAACAAATATATAGCTGTGCATATAAATGTGTTGTACAACGGTTAATTCGTTTAAAGAAATATGTTACACACATATTATTTTAATAATATAAGTATAATAGTAAGTGGCTATATTATGTTATAACACATACATATGTATTGAATATACTTATTTTAACCAATGCAATTGTTTGTTTTTTTTTTTTTTTTTTTTTTTTAATTTTAATAGTTTAATTTTAAAAAGCAGTGATTAATACAATTTTATTTAACACCCTTATACTTTTTTCTGTAAGGGGTGTAACAGGAGTATATTTCGTAACCTCTTACGATGTAAGAGGGCACAAAGTGTTTATTACTTAATGCTGTTAAAATTAATAATATATTTTTTTTTTTTTTTTTTTTTTTTTTTAAAAAGGTCAATTAAATTAATAATTCGAGTAATTATAAATAATATTACAAGATTTTTTTTTCTAATTATTTTAGTGTATTTTTAGTCACATAATTATAAAGGAGAGATATCCAACCATTGCATTATGTTACTCACAAATAAATGTTTTATGGTTTTTATTATACAACGATTACTTATTATACACCCTTAACCCAAACACTCTAAGGAGGATATTTCGTGACCTCTTATTTAAAGTGGACAAGCTTATTAGTCAATGTTTTAAATACCCAGCGTCTTTAATAAAAATCTAATGTATTTTTTCATAGAAATGGATCTGACATAAAAGCAAATTTTTCAAAAAACTTTTTGATTATCTACATGGAGTAAACCGCTGACAAAAGTCTGTATACTAATGAAAGAATGGCAAAATACAAATTAAAGTACTAAAATTTTCCATATAATGCAAATGCCAAGCTGTTCAATATAAACCACTAATACTACAATAATATGTAACACATTTGTTTTCAACGAA